CCTGTCTCCTTTGCTTTTAAATGAGATAAATATGACCAAATCACCTTTTTAATGAGATTTTTTTCACTCAGCCACTAATTAAACAGATATTAAACTCCTAGCACATGACTTGCCTTTGTTTGAAAACTGGGGGTAGAGACACTCGCAAGCACACCTCCAGACGGCACAGTCCCACAAGTACTATTTCATATGGACGCTGAGAATGAGTACCCCAGAACAAGACAGGCTTACCCCTTGCTATGTTTGAATATGAGCTATCCCCCACAGATTCATGCATTAAATACTTGGTCCCCAGAAGGTGGCAATATTTGGGGAAAGTGGTGGAACTTGAGGATGTAGGTCACTGGTGGGGGATTTTGCAGGCTGAATTTGGTCCTGTCCTTTCTTCATGGCGCCCTATCTGCCCCAGGATGAGTGGTCTCTACCACAGCAATCCACTTCACTGGCCCACAAACAACAGAGTCAAGGACAATGGAATCTTATCTGTGAAACTGTGAGCCAAAAACCAATCCTTGCTGGCTTCTAAATTGTTTTCTCCAGTCAGACCAATGGATAAACCTGACTAATATAGAAGAGGAGCTTAAGGAATCTTGGAGACAAACTAAAGGCATTTTGCAACGTAAGATGGCCACGGGGCTTTGGGGCAAAGACAGAGTGTCATGTACTGAGCATGAAACGTCATAAGGCCTGCATGTTGAAGGTTTGTGTCCCTGGCTGGCAGTGCCATTGTGAGAAGTGTTGGAAGCTTTAGCTGGAGGTGGGGGTTGTGTTCTAGTTGAGGGAAAGAGGTCACTGTTAGCAAGTCTTTGGGGGTGGAGGAGCTGTGGCCTGTCCTCTGTATGTCTCCTGTTGTCTGTCTGTCATGAGGCTAAGAACCTCCTCTGCCACACAGCACCACTTCTGCTCAGACACATGGGGCCAATAATGGCTGATCTCCCAGGAACTGGGAGTCTAGTTAAACCTTTCTTCCTTTAAGTTGGTGACATCGGGTGTTTTGTCCATTGGTAAAAAGTGAACACACACACAGCTCTCAGGGCTGGGAACTTCCACTCCAGCTGGGAGGTGGGAGCCACTGCAAAGTAGACAAAGAAGGTACAGGTAATGTCAGGGTGTGACGAATGCCGAGAGTAAAGGGGTGTAGACCAGCAGAAGCTGCTGGGAGGAATTCGCCAGTAATGAGAAAGATCTTTCTTTGCAAACCAAACTTCCAGAAGTTACCACTTCTGCCTCCCTGTCTCCAGGGGAAGGGAGGAGTCAGAGGCCTGCAGACACAGGTGACTGAGGTACAGGTGGCTAGAACCAGTCTCTATCCCCCACAGGCAGGCTTCACCCACACATGTGCATGCCTGTGTGGGTGGAAGGGGGGGTGTCACTGCACTGGTCTTCAAGTTCCTTGTGAGTGCCAAGCACTTATGTAAAGATCCTCAGAGGAGGAGCAGCCACCTGGTCAGCCTTGCCAGGGCGGCTGTCCCTTCATGAAAACCGACCCTTGAGCTCCTTCAAAGACGGTTCTGAACTGATATCTGGGTGGCACTTCAAGCTGCACACACAAAGCACCACCCCCCTCCCCCTGTCCCCACTCCCTCCACTAACCTACCACACCCTCCCAAAAGCCTGCCCCACACTGGTTGCTAGGCAACCAGGGACCAGGCTTGGGGTGGGATTTCAGAACTGCTAGAGACATTAACTCTTTCAGAGCAGCTGTTTGAATTGTTGTGTGACCTGGGCAAAGAAGAGGCTTAATTCCACTACACGGTAATGACTGTGTTATCCCCAGAAGGGGCAATACAGGGCAGACTTCAAAAGAACTATAATTAAGATGACAGGAGGAGGGTGAGCTGGAGAGATGGCTTGGTGGTTATGAATACCTGTTGATCTTCCAGACCTGGGTTCAATTCCCAGTACTCACATGGCAGCTTACAACAGTCTCTAACTCTAGTTTCAGGGCATCTGACACCCTCTTCTGGCTTCTGCTGGCACTGCGTGCACATGGGGTACAGACATGCTTATGTACATAAAATAAAAAATTACAAACACAGTCCCAGTGATCCCCAACAAAGCAAAAAGCAAAACTGGGCCAAACCAGAAAGTCCCATATCCAAATGGCGGGCACTAACTGAACACCTGCAGTGGGGCCAGCCCCTCCTGGGGTCACAAGAGGGGTCACTCTTGTCCATTACCCAGCAACCTTGTGCAGTGGGGGTGATTTCATCATTTCTATGGATGAGGAGACTGAGGTTTGGCTGGGACAATGAGGCTGGATTGGAAATCCGAGGCCCCTTGGCAGGAACAAATGAAAAGATCTGGGGTATTCCATTAGACCAAGGTTCATTCAGCTCTTCCAGCCAGGACAGAGCATCTATCTCATCAGCTGTTAGAGGCCATCAGACTTGCATTTGGAGAATAATCCATCCATCCCGTTAGGCAGGGGAGGGGAGGCAGAACCACCTGGGCCCAAACCTCCATCCTTTCCCTGGCTGTGTGACTTTGGACATTCCACTTAACCTGTCTGAGCCTTGACATCCTATGCAATAATGGGGAGAAAAGTGCCTACCTCTGAAGTCTATCCTGGCAAGTCAGGGTAAGGTGTGCAAAGTAGCTATCGTTAGCTTTACACTGTGGTAGCTGCTTCTCTCACTTCGTGGCTGAGAAGACCGAGGCCCAGATAGCTCAAGCCAGGCAGGAAGTTCCAGAGTGGACTTTCTGGAAAGCTTCAGCATCCAAGTCCCAGTCTTGTCTGTCACTCACTTGGATCAAGCCCCTCCTCTCTGTAGGCCTCAGCCTCCCCAGAGTATCAGTGAGAGGTTGGCTGGGATGGTGGTCAAGGTGTTTTCTGCTCTGGAGTTCTCCTAAGCTACCCATCTTAGGTAAGCAGGAGCTGGGCCTGCCTCACTCTGTGACTGGCTTTGGGACCACAGTGGCAGTAGGTGCTCAGCCAACAAAGGGTACATGGGTGGGTGTATCTGTGCCTCAGCCCACAGCAGCAGCAGCAGGCTCCACATCAGAGCCCAGGCCATAGAGTTCTGGGCTCCTTGGAGGGTGACACTGATGCCCCAGGGAACTGTGGAAGTCTCCTCATTTGCCAGAGCTCATGGACTGCACATGGAGAAGCTCAAGCATGGACATGAGCTTCCGGGTCCTGCCTCTGTCTCCTGCCACCAGCTACCAGTGCTGACCAGAGGACATTTTGTCTTCTGTGGCCTTAGCCTGTCTCCGGGTAGCTTCCTTCACTCTTCCCATCTCCTGGAGCTCTAGGCTGGGAGGTTTAGTTTCCAGGCCTATCCTCACCCTTCTGAGCAGCCAGTGAGTAGAGGAAGAGCAGAGGGTTGACCTAGGCTTCAGTGGCAAAGGTTCTCTTTATGTACTAGGCCCCTCTGCCAGCTGTGCAGGGCTGTATATTAGGCAGACTGAATGAAGGCAATCTTCTATTGCGGGGGGGGGGGGGCGGAGCC